AGTTTTGTGGCAGTTTTGCAGCACTGGGACTCCCTGTTCTCTGCCATGAGGAAGCAGGGGCATCCTTGGTTCCTCTCCCTCCACAGGATTGGACTGTGTCAAGTCAGAGGCAGAACAGGTGTAGGATCTGCATACATTTACTGATGCAGCTATTAAGATCCACCGGGATATGATTCCAGAGAGTTATAATAGTAAATAACGGTTAGTTCAACACAGCAGTGTCTAGAGTTTTGTTGCTGAACTCACAACATATCAGCCCCATCCCCTGCCTGCTCCCCCAGCTCTCCCAAGTGCCCCCTGACCCCCGCCCGCTCTCCCAGCCTCCCACCTCATGGCTGCCCTGCCTGGCCCAGCTCCAGGCTCTTTAAAAACAACAAACAAAGCCCCGAGTTCACCAGCTGTTGCAGGGGCCTTGGGGCTTCTGGGAGTTTGTGGAAGAGCCCCCCCACATGGCGCGAGGCAGCAGGCATCGCCCCCCGCCTGGCAGCAGCCAGTGAGTGCCGGGCTTTTTTTTTTTAAAGAGCTGGGAGCTGAAGCCAGGTGGGGCAGCCATTGAGGAGGCTGGGAGAGCGGGCGGGGGAGGGGGCTGATTCAGAGATTCAGCCAATTTGGCAGCGGCTGAATCGATTCGGGACAGTGATTCAAATCACTGAATTGAATCGCTGTCTGCTGAATTGGCCAAATCTGAATCCTAAGCGAATACTAGCTGCTTCGCACAGGCTAGATAGATAGATAGATATGCTACAACCGTACCAGTATTCAAGCATGTACACAGTTACAGAATCACATACCCATTACATACATGCACCGGTTCTCCTGTGTACCCATTACAAATCTCACACCTGTGCACTCATCCTCATTCCCTTTACTATTACAGTTATGCTGTTCCTCTGTTCCTTCTCTTAGTTTTTATATCACTGTCATTGTCTCCATCATCACTGTTGTTGTCCTTGTTGTCACTGTCACTCCATTCACTTTCTTCTTCGCTGTCCTCATTTTTTTCCTCATTGTCATTGCTCTCTTCCCCTAGGGTCCTTGAACAGTCCTTGAACAGTCTGTGCCAGTGGTACCTCTGCCAGGTGATCTTTGCCGTCCTCTCCTACTATCTTCTGGTAGTAGTTCTACAGCTTGCTCAGTCGTTTTAAACATAGTCCTTGACTGAGAGCTTTGTGTGCCAGTACATCAGGAGGTGCCACAGGGCACTCCTGATGGAGAAAACAAACTGACTGAAGCAGGCTGACAGGGTCCTCTGTTGTTTGGTCAAGTGCTTGTACAGCACCACCTCTTTGGTGATAGTCCTGACTCCTGTCACCATGCAATGGAGTTAGTTTACCTTCTTCTACACCTCTTTGAGTGGATACAAGAGTAGACAAGCCCTGAAAGATGCTTGGGTAGTCTCACTTCCTGGATTCCCTACTAGCGAGACAAACACAGGCTACACAAACTACAAACGTCACAAGCACAGTTTTGGGATTTGTGCAGCCTTGGCAAGCCCCAGGGAAAATGTTTGGGCCTTTAATTATGCCATTTTCACCTTTTCATGTCTTCCTATAAAAAAACATCTAAATCATTAAAAGGAAATTCTAGATGGAAACTTTTCTGAATGGGCATTTTCCCTTGGAGTTATGTTTTGCCTCCTGGCATCCTGATACACACACACACACACACACACACACACACACACACAATTTCATTTGACTGGAATTTAGAATCATGGTAAGAAGAGGAAATTTTTGTATACTTACAACAGGAGCACACATTGGAATGACAATGCAGAAAGTTTCATTGGCAGCTTCATCCCCCAGGTTGTGGAGCTCATGGCAGCAGGTAAACAACCATTCCAGAACTTCACCATGCACTGCACCCTGGATACCGGTTAAGAATTATCATGATACATCTTTGAAAATGCAATCTCTGATTAACTGAATTTGATCACATGGGTGAAGATGAGTTCATAGGCAAATGGATATTTGGAAAAGGGGTAGGCATACAGAGGATTAAAAGGAAACTGATGGACGTGGTGGGGGTGAACTGAAATCACTAGGTAGGTAAATGACTGATAGTTAGAGATGTATGCATGAATAAATGAATGAAGGAGTAGTTGAAAGAGAGGTGTGGATACATCTCATGTGATAGATAATGGGCCTGAAGTACAGCTTAACATCTAACTTCCTAGACTAATTCTGTGTGTGTGTGTGTGTGTGTGTGTGTGAGGGAGATGGCAGAAGATAAAGAATCTCTCTAGACAGTATCACCTCTAAGCTGCTTAATGAGGATTCCTGCTTTTTGCAAAATGGTATTAAATGGAAGTTAAGCAAGGGCGCATCATCACTCTAACACTATTCTCGATATTCCTTACTGCAATGCTACATCTGACCATTAACAAACTTTCCAGTCAGAGTGGAGCTAAACTACTGAATGGATGGTAGGCTGTTTAATGTCAGCCAACTCCAAGCCAAAACCAAGACCACTCCAACCTCCATCATTGAGTTCCAGTACACTGATGATGCTGTAGTGTGTGCTCACTTGGAAGCAGACCTTCAGGCAATCATCAACATCTTTAACAAGGCATACAAGAAAATGGGACTGATGCTTAACATTCAGAAGGATAAGGTCCTCCATCAACAAGCTCTTAATGAGCAGGCCTTACTGGACCTGGTATTGGCAACGGGGGATGACATGGTAGGGGACCTACAGATCAGTGGTCACCTGGGGTGACCACCAAATAATAAAATTCACCATAAGATGTAGAGTGGGAAAGGTAGTAGGGTGGAAGTGCTAGACTGTAGGAAGGCTGACTTCAGCAAGCTCAGGCATTTAGTCAAAGATGCGTTGCACACTAAGAGATTTGGCGAGATGGGAGCCCAGGAAGGGTGGCTGTGCCTTAAGGAAGCAATCCTTCGGGCACAGAGGGAGACGATCCCGATGTGGGGGGAAAGGGGCCAAGAGGCTTCCTTGGCTGACCAGAGAAGTCCAGAGCATCCTAAGGGCAAAAAGGGATGCATATAAGCAGTGGAAACAGAGAGAAATTACTAAAGAAGAGTATGCCTCCTCAGCTCGCAGTTGTAGGGAGGCAGTTAGAAAGGCCAAAGCTACCATGGAGCTGAGGATGGCATCCCAAGTTAAGGATAACAAAAAATTGTTTTTCAGATATATAGGGAGTAAAAGGAAGGCCCAGGGCAGTATAGGACCACTAGTGAATGGGCAAAAGCAATTGGTGACAGACAGGGGGGACAAGGCTGAACTCCTCAATGAGTTCTTTGCCTCAGTGTTTCTAAATGGAGGAAGAGTCTGCTGCAAGGATCTCAGCAATCTGAAACCATACAATGGCAACAGAAGATGGAAAAGCAAGAGTGACAGGAACAGCATGTTGCGGACCAAATCAAGAATCCAGAGCCACCCACCCTTCATGGAAACGTGTTCCCAGGTTGCAGCAGAGTCTGTGATCTTAGACTGGTCTTGTCAGCCATCTTCAGACCCACAAAAAAGACAATAATGGAAGACAATCATCCTCCACTGTGAGGGACTGCCAAAGATTGAATAAGCATTTCCTTTTTTAGGGTGAGATTATAAAGCTGATGAATTCTGAATAGTTTTTTGTTTAATAAAAGAAATACTGAGCTACATCCAGCATACATTTTTGCAGCTCTGCTGTTCTGCCAGCTCATCTCAAGGAATGAAGGGCTCAGAGGGAGCCAGTTCTGAATATAATTCAAGGAAAATAGCTTTTAAAAATCAGTGGGATAATTTGTAGTAATAAAAGAGCTGCAGCTTATCTGAAAAGCAGCAACTTTGACTAGAAACCCCAGGAGCATATACATGGGGAAACTGGAAGGAGTACTGGCTGTTGTATTAATGATGGGGAATTGTTCTGAGATCCTGAAGTAACCTAATGTTGGCATAATTTCCCTGTGGGAGGCCTTTGGTGCTTGCAGTGATGCTGTGATAGCATGTGCTGTCTCCAGGCCTGGGTCCTGGATAGATGTAGGCTCAGGTCAATAGGAAATCAAATCACATATCCTTTGCTGTGTTCCAGAGCTGATTAAACAAAAAAAAAGGGTTCAGTCCGTAATACCATGCAGATACAGGCTACAAGCCCCTAATAGACAGGGGTGCCAGCTTCCCACACCTTCGCTCAGGAGTCACACCTACTGGAGCTTCCAAATTAATGTTCTCCAGATCAGTGCTACAACTAGCAGCTCCGTAGTCACTGCCTGTTGATTCTGGATTTAGCATTGCATGTTCAGTATCATCTGGGAGAAAAGAAGAGTGTATTAACTAATTCATTACTGGTACCAGTAAGTTTAACCTAGTGATGGGCCTGAACCTGAACTCAGGGTCCAAAAGCTTCAGGGTGTGTGTACTGGAATAGTTATAAAATCTGGACTTGGAAACAAGCCATATATACCTGTCAGTACCCAAAGCTGAATAGCCATCAACATGAAGAGATTCCAACTGAAGTGTCCCTATTGATTTTTGTATAGATTTTACTTTTAAGATATCAACCTGCGTGAGCCCTGTATCCATGTCCGTGAAGTCTCTCTAGTGCTCTTTCCACCAGCATGTGCCTCAGTCACTCACATAACTGTGATGCTGTAGAAATGCAAAGGGAAAACATTGGTTATTAATGATCACTCAGATCCTTACGAAGTTAGATTTCCTGGTTCCCATTCTCAACAGTTTCAGGGAACTCCAAGGAAAACACAATTAAAGGAAATGGGGGCAACATGCTGCAGCATTTCCCAAAAGAGGAACCCCATAACATGTACAGAAATAACACACGCCAACAGTGCAATGAGTAGAACAACAGCTTGTGGCATAAGATGGCACAGGTATCTCTGACAGAGCTCAAGGAGGGCAGAACTCCAGAGGCAGGACCTTTACTCCATTTTCTCAAGATTATACTCAACACAATGAGTCATTTGATTCCTCTCCTCCTGGGACCTATGGACTATCCCTTCCCCAGAGGTCTTCCTTAAAGATGAAGAATGGTCTTGCTGCTTTTCCTCGTCTACAAAATGGAGCCAATCCTTCCCTCACCAAAACGTTCTGATGAATTCATATTATGTACCTGTTCTGACCATGCTGTGGAAGATGCTGTGTGGGAAATTACAGTTTTAGTGACTGTTTAGCAATCTTAATATACAGCAATGACTTTATTAGATTCTGCTACAAAACACCCAAATCAGGCTGTTTGCATGATCCCTAGTTCTGTGGCACTAGGGTGATATTTCCTGCCCTTTCAGGCTCTCTACTGATGCCATGGGCAATTCCAGGGCCTGCTGTTGGAGGAGTGGGGTGGGTTAAACTTTGGATGATCTTGGGAATGGCAGGCTGAGGCTGGGGCAGATGTTCAGGCAAAAGGGATGCTTTTGGGCAATGAAGTGTGTCAGACAGTAAACGGTGAGTTTTGAAGACTGAGCTTCTGCAGCGCTCCCTCGAATGGTCTTCCTGTTCAGCTTCTGCGTTGCATGCTGTCAAGTACTTGCAACGAACCGCTAGGAGGAGCTGAAAAGCTGGGCTGAAAATTCTGCTCATCTGGAAACCAGTCACTGCAGGATTTTTAAATCCATCTGGAAAAGTCTATCTACCCTGCAATTCCCCTTGCTAAGAAACAGACAGCTTTATATATACTATATACTCAGTCCCTGTCCTCTGGTTCCTTTAAAATCAAGTTATTCACAGTCACTCTGAATCAGAGATATATGTTAATGGCATATGCATGTAAGCTAACATTTTCAGTGGGTACATAAATCCTATAGGTCCTTTGCAAGCTCCATACCCTGCTGGGTATTTGTATGCCATTGCTAAATTTCATCCCAGCACTTAGAAATCAGTTGGCCTATCCTGGCCATGACTTCAAGTTTCTCCCCGTGAAGTGAACAATCAGTTGAACAAAAGCCAGAATATCAGGCAGCTAGAACACAAAAGGATTTTAGACAGTGCGTGACTTTTGAGATCTCTTTCTCAGGCAAGAAACAGATGCTTGAACAATGACATATTGGTTGTATCCTAGAAACCACACCATCGCTTCAAGATAAAAATTCAGAATGAACTGAGATTAGGGTTCCAGAGCTCTTTCTAGTTATTCTAATTGGTGGATTTCAAGAGAAATTGGAAGGCAGTTGAATCATTAAGGGCAGGTGTGGGGTGGAATTCTGTTTCTCTTTGTGTATCTAAATGGCAACTCGTTAGTCACGTAAGTGCCAAAAATGGCACTTATGCACAGAGAGTAATTTTGTGGTGTGGATGCATAATAGGAGGAGCATGGGCAGCAGGCTACACGCCAGCTGCATGCATATGAAACTACATACACACACCCACTGAGGACCTGTACTGGTTTCCAAACAATGTAGATAGCCAGAAACCCATGACTAGCAAGTGTTAGATTAAGGAAGACAGGCCTGGTTAAAACCCAAAGTGTGGCCTAATTGTTGGACACTCAGACAGCTTTAGGCTTCTTCTGTGGAAAGGGTTCTAGAACCTGGGTCTCTGGCCTCTGCAGTAAGTGCTCTAGGCACTCAGTTATTGTGGCTGAAATATGAGAGGAACCTTGCCCTCCTCCTCCTCTTCCAGGCTGTGTGTGTATGTGTACCCAGTGCATAGCTGACACCCGCAGGCTTATATGTCCAAAGTATGACACAGAGCCAAAAATGGCCCAATAGCTAGAACAATATCATTTAGTGTGCAAAGAGAAATATAACTACATTCTTGGTGTGGAGAGACAGGAAGGGTTGGCTGTGATTTATCTTTACCTAGGAAGACAACTTTTGTTAAATATTAATATAATCCAGTGTAGAAATGCAAGGTGAAACTCTCTAGCTTTTGCTGTTCCCTTCTGTAACACCCACCTATATTTAGCTCCCAAACCAAAGTGTAAGGCAGGGAGAATGGTCAGCACAAAGTGGTTGTCCTCTGCTGTTACATAGTGCGCAGAGCAGGGCTCATAGTCAGCTGGCAAAGTTTAGAGCAGTCCGGAGGTTGCTCTAAATAGTTGACTGCATGGGCAGAGAATCAGAACGTTCTCAGCAGCTCCCTGTCAGCCCCTTTGCTATGCTCTGCATAAGCTGGATAAAGCAGGGAATCTGGCCCTTAAAGCACTTACAGTTCAACCAAATATAATTCTTAAGTAAGTGGTGTTCCCATTACTCTGACTGGTTTAATCTGTCTGGCAAATGCATAAGGGACATAGAAATCTTCATAGCAAACTCCTTAAGCATGTGAATTTTGGTGAACTTTTGAATAATTGAATAATCTATTAAGGATTTATACTTCTAGATATGTGCCAAGCCCACTGTCCCAAATGTAATAAAGAGGAGAATAAAGTAGAACCAGCTGGAATGAGAATCTATAATATGAAGAACAGAAGCAGATAAGTTAATTTTATAACTTCGGGATCCTATTTTGATTTTGGCTTATTACTAGTTAGTGGATTTAATATAAGACTTTCAAATTGCATGATTAATCTTCACAAATATATAACATAGGATGAGAAGGGTCACATTGATCAAATTGAGTTATTTATGGTTTTATACTGTTTGGTATATTTCCCCCGTGCTACAATTCTGATATAGATAATTATTTTTGTTGAGGGCTTTGTAATCATCTCTTTCTAGCTGACTTGCTGGCAACAAAGGGAGCGGAGAGGTTGGGACCTCCAGGGCTAGGTAGGGACAGTCAAAAAGTCTGAGACTGAATCGATTCAGTCTTTGCAAGTTAGTCTAAACTGCACAGATTAAATTAAAACAGAAGCGAACAGACACTTAGGAAATGGAGCCACATGCCTGCAGTGGCTCAGGCCAGAAGCCAAGGGGCACTAGAGTAGGGCTCTCTGGCTGTGTGTTCACTTCCTTTTCCTGCTGTCCCCAAGGTCTCTGGGATTTGCAGTCCATATTTATAGTAGCAGGACTCTGCAGGGTTGTTCATCACTTCCTTTTCCTGCTTCCAGGTGTCTCTGGGATTTGTAGTCTACAGTTGCAACCAGCAGTAAGTTTGAGTGGGGGAAGGGGTGTTTAAGCCCCCTCCCTAGTCCCAGAGTTCTCTGGCAGGCTTGTGGGTAATCAGAGGCGGCAGCTAGAGACTCGTTTATATATAGTTCGAAATTAAAATAAAAAAGAATTTAGAAGTTAGAGAAATTAAACCCCATATAGAATAGAATAGAATAGAATAGAATAGAATAGCTAGGGCCTGAAACAAGGATGAAGTAAATAAGAATCACATTCAGTTAATTAAAGAGCACTTTGCACACACCAAATCACTGGCCTAGTGAATGCCTCTGTGAAGTTTCTGTACCAATGTTATCTCTATTTTGTAGTTGGGGAAACCAAACCACAGTATTAGGGGCCCACAGAATAACTTACGCATAGCAATACGAAGTATAGAAAAGCCAAAGTTTTAGGAGTTTCTTGCTTATGGAAGTATTGAGAGCCCTGGATGAAGTGTACCAGCTCCCTAGAAAGGGTATGAAGGGGCTTGGGCAACACACAGTGAGATTTATAACTGCCATTTTGACCTAGCCAATAGGAAATCCTGTCCTTCCTTAGCATGCCTTAGTACACTTAGGATTCATGTCCACACTTCCTCCTCTGAAGATAAGCTCCTGTTTTTCCCCCTGAAACTGAACACAGGTCATCCCTTTTTTTCAAAACATGGCTGATGGGAAGGGTTTCCTCTTCTGTGCCTATAGTGATCACAAGACATTTCGAAAGTTTTGAAACATTTGAGTTTCGAAGCAGCCAGCAGCCAGGTGGTGGGAGACAGGGGAGAACCAGGGCTGTGCTCCCAGCGATTCCAGGCTCAGCCAGGCTGGGAGCACAGCCCTGGCTCTTCCCGCCTCGCGCGGCTGGGGTGGAAAGCTGATCACAGTGCAGGGGAAGGGAACTGAGCCCCAACTCAGTCCCCCTCCCCAGCACTGCAGTCGGGTTGGAGAATGGAACTGAGCTGGATCGCTCAGTTTCCCTCCACAGCCCTACAATCAGCTGGGCTGACTTCCCATCCCCAACCTGATCCTAGCGCTGGGGTGGGAGCTCAGCCCAGCTGGGCTGACTTCCTTTCCTCAGCCTGATCTAGCACTGGGGAGGGGAACAGTTCCCTTCCCCAGTCCCAGGCAGCAGCACTGGCTTCCCTCCCTCATCTAGCAGGCAGATCAGGGGCCCTCAGCCCCAGGAGGACTGGCACAGCCCTGGCAGCCCTCCTGGGGTTGGGCCCCAATCTGCCTGCCATATGAAAGAGACTGTTTCGAGCTTCCCCATTATAGTGAATGGGCAAAACGTTGAAACAGTGTCTAAACAGCCTCACTGTTTCAACAAAGCGAAACGGAACAGCTGTTTCAACTCAAAATGAAATTCGAAACAAAACACTGTTCCATCAAAACCTCAAAACTCTAGTCTAAATGGAACAGTGCCATTTTGCACAGCCCTAACAGTTGGGTTAAAGCATTGATTCTCAACCAGGGTGCCATAGCCCCTTGGGGTGCCACAGCCTGCCCCCGCAGCCCCCGTTAGAGGTGCCATGGGCTGTCCCCGTACAGCAACCATCTACACACAATTCATTAGATTAATCCAGACATTTCAAATAGGAATCTATAGTGTCAA